TGTTCTCACAGGCCTGTGTTATATTCGGGGTAGGCCAGTCCAGGCCGGTACCTCTGTCGGTACCAGCCAGTCCAGTCCAGTCCCGTCAGTCCACTAGGGTATACCCCAGCCATTGTCTGTTTTCAGTCTCATTCCTCACTTGCACATTTTGGAGTACGTGCGTTGGAGTCTTGCGTGGGGAGCTGCGTTGTGCCATCTTGCTCCCCCTTCTTCCTCCATCTCCATCTCTGTCACTAGCAAAGCACCACACTTGGTGGGTCCGCTACAGAGTGCAAATTCGCTTAGCCTTTTGCAATTGCACCTACGAAAACTTGGCAGCTGCCGGGTCATTTTGCAAAGTTGGGCTGGGTCCGGTAGGGGGACATTTCAAAGACGGGGTCCAACTGATGGCTGGGGTGTTTCGCAAAATGTTTTGCCGTCATCCTCCACTTGTTTTATTAATTGTAGGTTTCACTCCTTGTACAAACTGGTTCTTTCTGGAAGAGGGAGAGAAGCCGTAGGCGTTGGGAGTCGGGGAAAAATAGTAGGAAGGATAAAGCTAGTTGGGCGGCAGAATGGAACACACGCACCCTCCCTCACGTGACGTTATGCTGTCGCCATAGCCACTGCATAGCGTTATCGTGTGTTAGTAGCACGTGGAAGTTAGGGGAGAGAAGGGCAAAAGAAGAACGAGAAAGGGGAGGACGATGATAGTGGGAAAAAGGAGTACGAGAAGGAAAGCGAAAACAAGTTGGGCTCCCGCTTGTCGTCGTTCATATGCTGTGTATTGTTTGTCCCCTACGATCGGCCACTGGTTCCTCGTGATTCAGCTTCGTGATCTCATCTTCGTCACTCCGCTTGATGGTCGTCCTCATCACCATTCGGCTTTCTGATCTTCATCTTCAACATTCGGCTTCGTGATCATGATTGTCATATTTGTCGTTAAGCTTCGTGGTTACCATAGCGATCCTCTCTCATAGTGGTCATCTTCGATAGCTGAGATCGTCGTGTTGCTCGCACGGGTCCAGTCGTGATCTTCTTGGTCCATGCGGTCGTGATCTTCTTGGTCCATTCGCGATCTTCTTGGTCCAGTCCTTATCTTCGTGGTCCTGTCGTGATCTTCGTGGTCTATGCGGCGAGATTTGTCTGTGTGCTCTGTGGTAGTTGTTCATCTCGGCGCTGCTCACGAGCCTCCGCATTGAAATTCAGTGGTATTTCTTCTTGGAGGTGACGGCGGGGGGGGGTGGGCCGGTGAACATTAGTAGGGTCCCATCCACCAGAGGTGATGCGAGCAGCCTCTGTGGGATGGAGTCCCCACTGTATGATGGTCGTGCAGCGTTGTAGTGGTCAGACTCTGTGACACCTCCTAGCGGTAGGCTATGAGTGAGTGAGAGAGAGAGAGAGAGAGAGAGAGAGAGAGAGAGAGAGAGAGAGAGAGAGAGAGAGAGAGAGAGAGAGAGAGAGAGAGAGAGAGA